GGGTGTGGGTATGGGTATGGGTATGGGTGTGGGTATGGGTAAGTTTAAGCGTAAGGGTATAGGTATGGGCAAGTTTATGCGTAAGGGTATGGGTATGGGTATGGGTATGGGTAAGGGTAAGTTTAAGCATCAGGGGGTATGGGTATGGGTAAGTTTAAGGGAAAGAGAGGGGGACAGGGGCATGGGTAGGGATACGGGTAAGGGTAAGAAAAGTAAGAAGGGGAATGGGAATGGGAATGGGAAAGGGAGGAGTGGGAAGAGGAGGGAGGAACGAGGAGGAGGAGGAGGAGGAGGAGGAGGAGGAGGAGGAGGAGGAGGAAGGAAAGGAGGAGGAGGAGGAGGACGACGACGACGAGAACGAGGAGGAGGAGGAGGACAGGAGGAGGAGGAGGACGACGACGACGAGAACGAGGAGGAGGAAGAGGAGGGGAAAGAAAAGGAAAATGAGAAGGAAAAGGAGAATGAGGAGGAGAAGCAGGAGAGAAAGAGAAGCGAGGAAAAAGGCTGAGGGAGCGAAGTGGGAAAAGCTGAAAGACAGCGAGATAAAGGATAAAAGGAAGGGGAGGGAAGGGGGGAGGGGGATGACAGAGGGGAGAGAAAGACTACATTCCCTGCTATGCACACGAGGCCGATCTCTTTGCAATACTCCGCACGTGGAAGGCGATGGAGAGAGGGAGGGATGAGGGGAGAGGAGAGGGAGAAGGAAAGGGAGAGGGAGATAAAGAGAGGGAATGAGAGGGAGAGAAAGAGAAAGAGAAAGAGAGAAAGAGAGAAGAGAGAAAGAGAGAGAGAGAGAGAGAGAGAGAGAGAGAGAGAGAGAGAGAGAGAGAGAGAGAGAGGAGAGAGAGAGGAGAGAGAGAGAGAGGGAAAGGGAGAGGGAGAGGAAAAGGAGAGGGAGAGGGAGAGGGAGAGGGAGAGGGAGAGGAGAGAGGGAGAGGGAGAGGGAGAGGGAAGGGGAAGGGGAGAGAGAGAGAGAGAGAGAGAGAGAGAGAGAGAGAGAGAGGAGAGAGAGAGAGAGAGAAGAGAGAGAGAGAGAGAGAGAGAGAGAGAGAGAGAGAGAGAGGGGGGGGGGGACGGATGATTCCGGCTAATTCTCTCCCTGGCAGGCAAGGCTCGGTCAAGCTTGTCTCACTTCAAAGATTGCTGGGCTTCCTTTCTCTTCCCCCTCTCTCTCCTTCCTCGCCACTTCCCATTACCTCTTTCCTCCTACTGGTTACTTTTACCCCCCTCTCTCCCTCTCTCCCTCTCTCCCTCTCTCCCTCCCTCCCTCCCTCCCTCTCTCTCTTTCACTCCCTCTATTTTCATTTCCTTTATCCCTTTACTTCTCTTCCCCTTTCTTTTACTTCGCTTCACCTCCCTCTCGCTTTCGCTATCTCCCTAACCTCCACCCCATCATCTTTTCTCACTTCTCCTCCCTCCCTCTCCCTATCTTCATTTCCTTTATCACTTTCTTTCTTCCCTTTACCTCTCTTTCCTTTCTTTTACTCCGCTCCTTCTCCCCAACCTCCACCTCATCTTTTCTCACTTCCCCTCCTTCCATCTCCTCCCTCCCTCCCTCCCTCCCTCCCTCCCTCCCTCCCTCCCTCCCTCTTCTCACTCCCTCTTCTCACTTCCTCCCTCCCTCTTCTCACTCCTTCCCTCTTCCTCCCTCCCTCCTCTCACTCCCTCCCTCCCTCCCTCCCTCTTCTCACTCCCTCCCTCCCTCCCTCCCTCCCTCCCTCCCTCCCTCCCTCCCTCCCCTCCCTCCCTCCCTCCCTCCTTCCCTCCCTCCCTCTCTCCCTCCCTCTTCTCACTCCTCCACCATCACGAACAAAAACAAACCCACGCAAGTACACATATACACGATACACCCTCCATCCTACCACCTCACGAATACCATGATCCAAACCTCCCTCCCTCCCTCCCTCGCCCGCACGCACGCAGGCACACAGGCAGGCAGGCACGCACGCACGCACGCAACCCACACGCGGCAGCCGTCTCCCGCTCTCAGACTCACCTGCTGGCGTCGGTCGCGGTCGGGGCGCGTCGGCGTCACAGCGACAGATTGGTCAACGCCACGGCTTCCAATCCTCCTCTCGAAAGGTCAAAGGTCAAAGAATCGTGACTTTTTATATATAAGTACACCGTCGCACGCACACTCACGAACACACACATATGAATTTGTCGTCACTAATTCCTCCAAGTTATGATTTTCTTTTCTTTTTCTTTTTTTCTTTTCTCTGTGATTATATCCACATTCAATAATGATATCAATTTTCCGTATGATTTAATCCTCTTCAACAAACACTATACCTTTATCCGTCACTTCAAGGAATAAATAAATAAAACACACTTTATACGGGTATTCACTGCATCTCACACCAATAAAACGATGATGATGGTGACGATGACGATGACGATGACGATGACGATGACGATGACGATGACGATGACGATGACGATGATGATGATGATGATGATGATGATGATGATGATGATGATGATGATGATGATGATGATGATGATGATGATGATGATGATGATGATGATGATGATAGCAAAGAAATGGACGTAGAAAAAAACAGTATATATAGATGTAGGCCTAAACAAGAAGCTCGTTGGCAGGCACTTTAACACTGAGGGTGACTTGCACAATTAGCCCGTGTTGTCATCTCATTAAGAATGGGATATAGGCAGCAGAAAAGGGAGGCAGCAGAAAAGGGAGGGAGAGGGAGAGGGAGAGGGAGAGGGAGGGAGGGAGGGAGGGAGGGAGAGGGAGGGAAGGAGGGAGAGGAGGGAAGGAGGGAGAGGGAGGGAAGGAGGGAGAGGGAGGGAAGGAGGGAGAGAGAAGTGGGAGAGGGAAGTGGGAGAGGGAAGTGGGAGAGGGAAGTGGGAGAGGGAGAGGGAGAGGGAGGGGGAGGGAGGGAGAGGGAGGAGAGAGAGAGAGAGAGAGAGAGAGAGAGAGATGAGAGAGAGAGAGAGAGAGAGAGAGAGAGAGAGAGAGAGAGAGAGAGAGAGAGAGAGAGAGAGAGAGTTGGGTGAGAAGACACACATGCTGACAGTCAGACGAATATCAACACAGAGAGGAGCACACACACACACACACACACACACACACACACACACACACACACACACACACACACACACACACACACACACACACACACACACACACACATTCTTGCTTACTTCCCTCATACCGACACCTCGTCACTCACATTTCCACGCATCTCAATATTCACTTTTTTTCCATCGTCACACGCACGAAATTCACACAGTCATCGCCACTCCCTTTCGAAGCCAATTCGCGCATACACGCACGCACGCACGCACGCACTCACAAGTATTCACACGCAAGCAAGTACGCACGCAACTTCCCACGTGTTCGTCTTCCACGCTGTTTCCGGACACTGAACCACAAGCTCGTCTCCTCTTCCCTCTTACTTTCTACTTCTTTCCTCCCACATCTATTATTCCTTCCCTCTTCCTTTCTACCACTTCTCCCTTCCCTCTTCCTTTCTATCACTTATTCCTCCTCACTTCCTTTCTATCACTTACTCCTTCCCACTTCCTCTCTACCCCTTTCCTCCCTCTTCTTTCTACCACTTCTCCCTTCCTTTCTATCACTTCTTCCCTTCGTTTCCTGGTTCAGTTTCCTCCCAATTCGCGTATAAGGAATGTTGGCTTCCCTTTCACTTTCTCCTATCTCCTCTTTTATTCTCCTCGCCTCTCCTCTTTTATCTCACGTTTGTCACTCCGTCCATTCTCACTTTTAACACTGCCGCTCTCCCATCGGCTCGGTCAGCTGATTCTCTGACTCATTCAAGATATTTCACGCACGTTGTTCTCGTTCACATTCACCTTCCGTCAATTAGTTCTCATTTCGTCTAATTCACTTGTTCACTCGCCCTGTCGGTCCCTTACTCACTAGATCCCTCTTTCTCTTATTCTTTGTTATCCTTATTTTGTTGTTGTTGCATTCGCACTCAGTCACTCATTCAGTAATTCACTCTCCACACATACACATACACATACACATATACATACACATAAACATACACATACACATGCACACAGTTTCTTTCTCTTCTTTCCTTCTGTCTCCTTCTCTTTCTTCCCTCCCCATCACACCGTTGGGCGGCCTCCTTCGGATTCACCCGCGAGAGATTTCCGGTCCCGCAGGAGGGAGGGAGACGCCCCAGCCACGCCGTTTCCACATCGGAGTTCCTGCCAGGAGTCCCAGCCGTCCCGACGCCCTGGCAGAGGAGGCGGCCCGTTATACTCCAGCGTTCCGTCACAGCGCTCTTTCTACGCGAGGGAATCTTCCCATGCTCCCATGATTTCATCCTCGGTTCACACACACATTGTTTACATGCATACACACATAAAAGGTACACGTACACGAACACGTGTGCGTATGGACAGACACAGACAGGGGGGGGAACACACACACCCTGGCGCCTCTCCGCACGGGCTATCACCAAGTGCTCCTCGCTTCTCTTTTGCCTCCTGAGGTCTCATGCAGTGAGCTTCGGGGGCGCATTCCACGCCGCCCAGGACCCTCCTCCTCCTCCTCCTTTCCGCTGTTCCTAGGGGCGCGGGCGGGGAGGGCGAGGGCAAGCCAGCGACGTCGGGGGGACGACACAGGTCCCTGCGGCAGCTCCGGCGGCCACGAGGAAGGACGAGGCGACAAAGCGACAAGGGCACCCACTGGGAGGGGTCGGCGGCGAGGGCGCGAGGGGGGGGGAGCGGACGGAGGAGCGACGCGACGGCGGCGGCGAACACCCGGCTCTATCACCAACTGCTTCCACACCAACACCACACCGCCGCCACGCCGGGCAACTCTAGCTGCTCCCAACCGACGTACGCACGCACGCACCCACGAGCGCGGACACACACACTCGCTCACACGCGCGGACATACCAACGGCCGCTGCTAATTCATTCGAGCTACAACTTACACGACGTTACATGCGCGGGCCTCGCAACGGCTCTCGCTAACAACGGCAGAAAAGCTGTACCTTGTTTCACCTCGCAGCGCCGCGCCCCGCCCGCCTCCGCCGCGGGAAAAGGAGGTCACAGCCAAGTACTCAC